GATGTTGAATAATATACATGTATGTATATTTGGGTGATTTTGAAAAAATTTGACTTTTTAACTCCTTTTGACAAATATTGATTTGCTCTTATAGCTTTTGTGATCGCCAATGTCCACCATCATCATTGGCAATTTATTGAATTAATTCTTTTTCTCATACCACTTTGTAGTTTTTTACCAAACAGCACAGAAATCATCCTTAAATGATCCTTTGCTGGGAAAGTCACAGGATAGAAAAAAAAAGACTTAAAAGAATTGAAAAGTCTTCTTATAGGAAATTATACGTCTTATAGGAAACTACATGTATGTGGCGAAGAATTCTGCTGTTTGTCATGCAGCATTGCCTTGTTGTACTCTGCATAACTAATACAAAATTATATCCCTAAGGTCATTTTCATAGACTTGATCCACTGTTACTTCTTGAGATCTAATTTATATGCTTACCTTTTTTTCTCAGGTAAGCGATTATAGTTCCACTTGTGTCTCTTGTTTTACAGAGTAAGTGGTGATGCTATGTTAAAATATATACTTGTTGAAATCTACTCTACATATTCTGTTAAGATGAAGGTATATAAATAATAAAAATTGTCTATTTTTCATCATGAGTATTGTTGATTATGTTTAGACAATAAGTACATTTTTGTTGTTGTCCTGGATACCTGGGAAATGCATTTTGTTACTATACTATGTTTATATTTTGTCATAACTAGTAATGTTCAGGTAATGTATTCATTTCTGTCATGTATATTATTTTCTCTTTTCTTTTGGTAAACATGAATTTGATATTTGGAAAATTTGCTGGTCTGTTGTTTACATGACAGAATAAACTAAATGAAATGCTTTACAGGCTTTTAGTTGTCTTTCATAAGTCCATTGTACATGAACATATAATATCTAATGATTCATGTCTGCAAATACAATTTGGTTTTTGTTATTTGTTAATTTTTTAAGCTAAGGAAAAAGTGAAAATTCATTAATCAATGAAGTGGAAGTGAATATTCATTGCTGTACAAGCATCATAAGGTAGAAACAGCATTTGTTGCAATTTACAAGGTTATCTGTTATCGTATTTCTTATTCACGGTGATAAGGCGTTTACCAGAAAGATTAAACTGGAATCAAGTTTTCAGTTGCCCATTAATGATTATATGTTTAAAGTTTGTCAAGACTAATCTTCTTATAGAGCTAATACAATTTCAATGAAAATTAACAGGATTGATAGATAGCTCAAGTACTTGCGGATATTAAATGGGGGTTTCGGTTGAATGACTTGGCTGAGTCATGGCCCTTGAATAAAAACGCGCTTTACCCTGTTACTGATTTTTTGTCTCCTGCTACACAGAATCTACAACTTGCAGTTAGCTATTAAGAGCCGACACGTTATCTGAATGATCTTGTTATTTTTAAAATTTGTGTGGACTACTCCTCTTATACTACTAACGCAATAGCAATGTATCTTTAAATGACTGATAAGTAGCTCAAGTCCTTTGGCATATAACATGGGTCTTCCGGTTGAATGATTTTTGGCTGAGATATAGTCCTTGAAATAAAAAAAAGGTGTTTTGTCCTGTCAATGCAAGCTACACAGAAGCTTGTCCAGACTACTTGGGAACTACTGATGCGATTTCATCTGTAAAGGAATGATCAGTACTAAGTTTAGTTTTGCATATCGTTTACATTTTTCCGTTCGATGATATTTGTGAGGGTTATGGCCCTTTAAAGGGACTCCACTGAGGTTTTTTGACACAATGGGACTGAAAATATTTTTTCAAGATAAGTGTACCATTTGATGTAGGCTTAGACCACTAATCTTTGTGCAAAATTTCAGATCATTCGCGCACTTCGTTTTTCCAGGATAATTAATCAAATTGTAAAAAATGACCCCAAAATGAAAAGCGTTTAAACGCTTTTCATTCAAATTGGGCTAAGAAAAGCATAAAAAATAAGATTTTCAATTTATTTCAAAGTATATTTCTTTAATATTTTCGAATATATTTCTGTTTAAAATGCCCCAGCTCATTTATGTAAGAAATTAAAATGTTTTTTTTAGACTTTTAAAATCTCAGTGGAGTCCCTTTAATGATTTTGATTTTTAAAGTTTGTCCAGACTACTGCTCTTATACTACTACGAAACTTAACAGGATGATTGGTAGCTCAAATACTTGCGCATTTTCACATCAATGACAAATATGATTAGAATTACATTTTGTTGAAGGCAGTTTTTTTTTTTGGAATATTCTTCTTCCAATGTGTTTGACTTTAGAAATAATAAAAAAGTGACGTGGTGCATGCTTGGTGGTGACTTGATTTTAACGTTATTTTAATTGAATTGATAAGACCCCCTCCACTGTCTAACACTATATAGTAGCATGTAACATCAGTGACTGGCAATCCAGGCTATTACTAACACTACATACAATTTTGTCGTGGTATGCTTAAGTAATTATTAACAGTCGAAATCAATCTTGTTTATGGATAGTGTCACACTGAATTGCATCACCTGGCGAATTGTTTGAGCCAATGTTTTTTCTAAATTTTAGCGACAAAACTCGCGCGGGGTTTCAGGTCCTTGTACTAACGACATGAATGTGTATGTCATGCGAATGTCGCACGCATTTCCATCGAAATATCTCATGCATGGCTTAGTAGAGAATTGATAAACCGATAAAATTACTACAGGTTTCTGAAAAGACTTCGGAATAATGTTGACGAACAGTACAGCTAAAGCATAGAGCTAATATATTGTATGTATCTGTGGCTAAAGGTAGTGAAAATAATAATGCTTTACTTTTTAGCTCGACTATACGAAGTATATGGAGAGCTGTCCTACTCGCCCCGGCGTCGGCGTCGGCGTCCGCGTCCGCGTCCAGATTTTAGATTAAAGTTTTGGTGCAGTAAAATATTTTTCACTATAACTTTGTCATTTCTTAAGGTATCAACTTCAAACTTCAAATATATGTTCCTTATCATCAACCACATCTTATGTGACAAGGTTCATAACTCTAGCACCAATATTTTCAGATTTATCTCCCCTTGAACTTAGAATTTTCCTTAAAAAATACTATTTTTTACTGATACTTCTTTATTTCTTAAGGGATCAACCTCATACTTCAAATATATGTACCTTATCATCATTCCCATCTTATGTGACAAGGTTCATAACTCCAGCACCAATATTTTCAGATTTATCTCCCCTTGAACTTAGAATTTTCCTCAAAAAATATTATTTCTTACGGTTTCTTCTTTATTTCTTAAGGGATCAACTTCATACTTCAAATATATTTACGTTATCATCATCCCCAACTTATATGACAAGGTTCATAACTCTAGCACCAATATTTACAGATTTATCTCCCTTTGAACTTAGAATTTTCCATACAAGATATTATTTTTACTGTAACTTATTTATTTCTAAAGGGATCAACTTCATACTTCAAATATATTTACGTTATCATCATCCACATCTTATGTGACAAGGTTCATAACTCTAGCACCAATATTGCAAGAATTATCTCCCCATAAACTTAGATTTATTTACTAGAAAAATGTTATTTTTTATTTTAACTTTTTTATTTTAAAAGGTATCTACCTCAAACTTCAAATACTTATTCCTTATCATCAATTACATTTTATGTGACAATGTTCATAACTCTTGAAGCAATATTTACAGATTTATCTCTCTTTGAACTTTGGATTTTCTTTAAGAAATATAATAACTTCTTTATTTTTTAAGGTATCTACTTCAAACTTCAAATATATATTTCTTATCATTACACAAATGTTGTGTGGCAAGGTCCATAACTCTAGCATGACTATTTCTAGAATTATTCCCCTTGATCTTGGAATTTATGTTAACAAATGTTATTTTTTTACTATAACTTAATACATAATTATACATAGTTGATTTTTCTTTCATAGTTTTGTCCTCCTTACTGCGTCCAGTATTTTATTAGTCGAGCTTTGCTGTCTCCTGTGACAGCTCTTGTTTACTTGGACCTACATGGTTTGAGGACGGAAAGTTCTTACACAAAAGGACTGTCTCATTTGCTTAAGCTATTTATTGGTGCATTGATTGTGGAACTTTGTTAAAAAAGTACAAGAATGGCAAACTTTTTATGCACTTCTTAACCTAAAAAACAAACATGGCATTCTTCTAGGGAAAAAGATCGATGTATCCAATCAGACAACTAGAATAAAATAAGAAAAAGTTCATTCAGTAAATAGTATGTCAAAACAGGAATATTGAGTTAATTTTTTGGATAATTTTTCCATGTTTGAATAACGTTGTAGAAATTTGTCCCAGGGCATGCTGTTGTGTTTTTCACGTCACGATGACCGCGCAGTGTGTATGATGGCGATAGCTTCTTCCGAGCTACAGAACAGGATATCAACTGTTTTACCGCATTCTTGCGCTGTTTGGTACACTTTACTAAAATTTTTCCAATACCAATACCTGATTACACAGAATGAATTTTTTAAAAGTTAAATTTTAATATAACAGTCCCAAAACTCATGTATTTTACAAAAAAAGGTATATTATTTTTTATACTCAGAAAGTTATTATCTTTTTTCCGAGATAAAATTTTAAATAGGGGTTTAATTTTAATGATTCGATAAAATTTCGTAAAACCCAACACCCCCCCTCACAAAAAAAAACTCAATTAATCATTTCGGCACTTTTTAAATTTTGTTTAAATGTACATCATCGTTTCATTAATTAAACATAAAAATTCAGAGTCGAAATGTTCTTAAACGTTAAGAGGTATCTTTTAAAATATTAAATTATAAAAATTCCTATTTTTGGTTAAAAATGATGCGAAGATATCAAATAGTTAAATAATTAGAATATCTCGTTAGATAATGTGCAACTGTAAAAAGAGGAGTGCGCTATTGTTATTCTATATAACTAACATTTTTTTTTTGTGAAATCAGGGTGTTTTATCAAAGGTTTACGCCTAAGTAAAAAGTGCTATAATTGCCAAAAAACAGCTGCTTACTGACCCAAACTCTTACTGTTGAAGCCTGGAGCATGCGCACCTACTAATCCCCATCCTCTACCCTCGTACACGTTGCCGTCTTCGCCAACTATGAAGTTATAACCAATGTCGTCCCATTCTAAAAATACATCAATAATTATATAGATAAACATACATAAGGTGAAAGCTACTCGCGTGTTTCAACTCGTTGCTTAGCATCTTTATCAAAAGAATATTCTAGAGAAAGAAAGATAGAAAGTGAATAATACTTAAATGATATTTACAAATTGAAATTGGACCTCCATGCATACTGTTTTATTGAACGGTTTGTGACGTGCTTCCTATGCAATAATTATAGGTAGATTATTTGACATTCAACTGTACAATACGGGAATAATCAAACAAATGCACATTATGGAAAAAGAAACAATATTGTAGAAAATAATCTTAAATAACCTATTTATTCTTCAACCAAATTTTATTAGTAAAACGCAGTGTGATACGTCAGTCAGAGATGTGATCTTAATATATCATGTGATAAAAAGTAAAGTTTTCAAAAACATAATTGTATTCATAATTTACCATTGGTATCCATGTGATATTTCTGATAGTTTCGAACTATTTCTTTGCATTGTTCAGGTTTAAAACATCTAGATCCAACGCCGCCGTGGTGTATTACTACATACGTTGGAGTAGACGTCATCCGCGTTGTACCTTTTGCTGTTCGTGCTCCCCACTGTGCTCTGGATATGATACATGGACACTCTGGCTCATCATTATCATTATCGATGTTAGGACGCGGACGAAAACATCCCTGTGTCATTTGCAGACAAAGGAAAAGGAAGACAATTCTTAATCCGTGCATATTTATTAAACAGCGCAAATATCCTTTTTTTAAATATTAAATCAGATACGTTTATGCGAAAGTCAATTCGTTTAAGTGTATATTTTGTACTTGAAAAAACATATAAACCAAGATATTATTAGAACAGTCGTCACACTGATTTTTTTCCTCGTTTCGTTTCTTTTTTTATTTTTTTTTACGAAATGAAAAGAATGATTGTTTATAAAAGACATGACGTAATTTCTTTATTCAAAATTTGGTATTGTGTCAATATTTTGATGTTGTAGTCAAAACATCTAGATCTATTCATTTATAATAATTCACTAAAGAATTGAATGACAAAAGTCGACCATCCCACCGAAAAGCATTCGTGACAAATGGCAGATAAATAATGAGATCCATATTTTTCCTTCACATAGTCTGGATTTTTTTAAGCAATCCTCTGCTTTGATGAAGACTTATGCAACAATAACGTTTAAAAAAAAACAACTAAGGACAAATGCTGCGTAAATGTTATTCTGACATCATCTATTCATATATCAATGACAAATATATTTTAACAGCATACCCTTTATATAAACAAGAGGGCCATGATGGCCCTGGATCGCTCACCTGACACAACCGCATCCAAGCAATGTCTTAAACAAGCATCATGGCCAAGTTTGATGACAACTGAGTCAAACATGTGACCTCTAGTGTGTTATAAAGATTTTTTCCATATTTGGGCAATGTGACCTAATTTTTGACCGGACACAACCCATATTCAAACTTGACCTAGAAATCATCAAAACAACCTTCCTGACCAATTTCCAGGAAATTTGGATCAAAACTGCAGCCACTACAGTGTTAAAAATATTTTTCTATTTTTAGCTCCTGTGACCTAGTTTTTGACCGGACATGACCAATTTTAGCACTTGACCCAGAAATCATCAAAACAACATTCCTGACAAATTTCCAGAATATTTGAATCAAAACTGCAGCCACTAGAGTATAAACAAGCTTTTTCTATTTTTAGCTCCTGTGACCCAGTTTTTGACCTGAGATGACCCATCTTCGAACTTGACCCAGAAATCATCAAAACAACCTTCCTGACAAATTTCCAGAATATTTGAATCAATACTGCAGCCACTAGAGTGTTTACAAGCTTTTTTCTATTTTTAGCTCCTGTGACCTAGTTTTTGACCGGAGATGACCCAACTTCGAACTTGACCTAGAAATCATCAAAACAACCTTCCTGGCAAATTTCCAGAATATTTGGATGAAAACTGCAGCCCCTAATGTGTTAACAAGCTTTTCTATTTCTACCTCCTGTGACCTAGTTTTTGACCGGAGATGACCAATCTTAGCACTTGACCCAGAAATCATCAAAACAACCTTCCTGACAAATTTACAGAATATTTAGATGAAAACTGCAGCCACTAGAGTGTTAACAAGCTTTTTCTATTTTTAGCTCCTGTGACCTAGTTTTTGACCTGAGATGACCCATCTTCGAACTTTACCTAGATATCATCTAAACAACCTTCCTGACAAATTTCCAAAATATTTGGATGAAAACTGCAGCCCCTAGAGTGTTAACAAGCTTTTTCTATTTTTAGCTCCTGTGACCTAGTTTTTGACCGGAGATGACCCATCTTCAAACTCAACTTAGATATCATCTAAACAACCTTCCTGACAAATTTCCAGAATATTTGGATGAAAACTGCAGCCCCTAGAGTGTTAACAAGCTTTTTCTATTTTTAGCTCCTGTGACCTAGCTTTTGACCGGACATGACCCATCTTCAAACTTGACCTAGATATCATCAAAACAACCTTCCTGACAAATTTGCAGAATATTTGGATGAAAACTGCAGCCACTAGAGTGTTAACAAGCTTTTTCTATTTTTAGCTCCTTTGACATAGTTTTTGACCGGACATGACCCATCTTCAAACTTGACCTAGATATCATCAAAACAACCTTTCTGACAAATTTCCAAAATATTTTGATGAAAACTGCAGCCTCTAGAGTGTTAACAAGCTTTTTCTATTTTTAGCTCCTGTGACCTAGTTTTTGACCGGACATGACCCATCTTCAAACTTGACCTAGATATCATCAAAACAACCTTCCTGACAAATTTGCAGAATATTTGAATGAAAACTGCAGCCACTAGAGTGTTAACAAGCTTTTCTAATTTTTAGCTCCTTTGACATAGTTTTTGACCGGACATGACCCATCTTCAAACTTGACCTAGATATCATCAAAACAACCTTTCTGACAAATTTCCAAAATATTTGGATGAAAACTGCAGCCTCTAGAGTGTTAACAAGCTTTTTCTATTTTTAGCTCCTGTGACCTAGTTTTTGACCGTAGATGACCCATCTTCAAACTTGTCCTAGAATTATCATTAAAACAACCTTCCTGACAAATTTCCAGAATATTTGGATGAAAACTGCAGCCTCTAGAGTGCTAACAAGCTTTTTCTATTTTTAGCTCCTGTGACCTAGTTTTTGACCCGAGATAACCCATCTTTGTACTCGATCTGTATTTCATTGAGACAAACATTCTGACAAAGTTTGATGATGATCCAATCAAAACTGTGACTTCTAGACTGTTAACAAACCCAATTGTTAGAGTGTTAACAAGCTTTTTCTATTTTTAGCTCCTTGACCTTGTTTTTGATCGGAGATGACCCATCTTCGAACTTGACCTAGATATTATTAAAACAACCTTCCTGACAAATTTCCAGAATATTTGGATGAAAACTGCAGCCTCTAGAGTGTTAACAAGCTTTTTTTTTTTTAGCTCCTGTGACCTAGTTTTTGACCCGAGATAACCCATCTTCGAACTCGATCTGTATTTTATTGAGACAAACATTCTGACAAAGTTTGATGATGATCCAATCAAAAACTGTGACAGCTAGACTGTTACAACCCAATTGTTGACGACGCACAACGCACGACGACGACGCCGGACGCCCCATCACTATACCTCAAACTTGGACCAACTTCGTGGTCAGGTGAGCTAAAAAGTGAAACGACATAGGTAAAATTTTGCAAGACTGATGCCCCGGACGGATATAGTCTAATCGTTCACGGATTACTACGGAAATGTGAAATTCCGTAGTCCGCTACGGTTAGTACGGGAGAAAACCACGGCACGAGTACGGAGGTCCACGATTTTACCGCCAAAATGTAGGTAAAAGCCCCAGGAGAGGCACGTATTATTACGGACCGACACGGTTGAGCGATAGAAATCAAGACGGTACGCAACGATAACTAAGGTTGCTACGGGATAAACGGTTACGTAGAATAAGTTACGGTTGGGACGGAGAAAAAAAGAATTGCCCCGGGTCTTTTGGACTACCCTATCCCCTCCCAACCTTTGATGCTAATTTTAAAAAAGCCTCACAAAAAAGAAATCTAGAAAAATTTCAAAATTTAAAGATTCACCCAAGAGGGCATATTTTCTTCTATTTAAATTTTTGTAGGGGCGCCGGATCCTCAGCAAACTTGGTTAGACCCCAGCTGGGCCATAAAGGGGGCTTCGTAAAAAATCTTATCCCATCTCTTTTATTCTCTTATCTGATTAAATATATAATAATTAATGAAAATAATTGATCTTTTGATATTACAAATGGCTGTTCTTTTTACAATTACATACATTATCATGAATGTTTATGTTTTAAGAATATGTGAAAAGTTTGTTAATTAATCACTCGAGGCTTATGAAATATGTAACTTTTAATGTTATTCTATTACTAATACAATGTAGTACGATATTAATATATTTTATACCTCTTTGCACGTCACCAATCAGCTTCACCACTGCCTCCGCATTCTTAGCCAAATCAATAAACAGTTGCAGGCAGTAAATGACAAATGTCTTTTATTGAATGTTCATGATTATGTTCGCAACATGAAAACGCAAATATGTCTGTTTTTAACATATCCCCTTGAAAAAGTACATGATACTTAATTTATCCGTACTAAACAGTGGTGGACCGTACCATTCCGTACCGATTCGTGTTGCAACGCAATAAACCGTATAAGACCGTGCTAATCCTTGCCTCTCCGTACTTACCACGTATTACGATCGTGGCTTTCCGTGACAATGCCGTATTAATCCGTATTAAAACCGTAGCTTATACGTAGGCAAACCGTTGAAATCCTTGACAAGTTGGGGCCTACGAATCAGTACGGACTAGCACAATTTTCGTACGGACCAGTACGTATTAGTACGGTTTAATACGGACCAGTAGGGATACGCTACGGTTGATTTTTCCGTAGCAAATTTTTGTGCATGTTCAAAAATTGTCAAGGATCGCTACGGATATACAAGGACTACTACGATTGATTACGGTTACAATACGGAGAGCTACTGACTCTCACGGGTAGCTACGGACGATGCCGGAATTAATCCGTGGCTCTTCGATCCGTGGTCGTATTCCCTGAATATGTGACCGTGGTATGATGTATGGTCTGAAAGAAGCTTTACTATTCTTTATTGAGAGTATGACCCCGGATCAATCGAGTATTCAAATGAATCATTTTGTACAATATCACAGTAATAATACATCTCTTTAAAATGTTTGAATTGAGAACACATGTTGAATGTTCTTAAACTGTATTAGCTAGGAAGGTAAATTAATATTACTTAATTGATATCATTATGCAAAACTTGTGCTGCTGTAATATGATTATTCTGTTCATATTAAACCAAACTTATGTCTCAAATATACAGTAATTGTTAGAATTGTTAAATATATGTTATATATGATTAATGACATTGATATTATGTTTCTGTATGTATATGTATGTATACGTATGTATGTATGTATGTATGTATGTATGTATGTGTGTGTGTGTCGTGTGTGCGTGTGTTGGTGTGTGTGTGCGTGCGTGCGTGTGTGCTCATGGATATAATACCCACATGCATTTAGTAACTAAATCTGAAATTTGGATGGTTGCAAACCCATTATGTTGGTTTTGTCATGTCGCGGCTCAATTATTTATTGCACCAATGTTTTTATCATCGGTACCGCCATCCCAACCCCCTCTCAACTAGTAAAATAGGTAGTTCTGTCAATTGAGACAGGGTAATATCTTACAATACTGTCCGGGTAAGTGCATTTGAGTTAATTTCAAAGACACGTTGAATTGTGCTCTTTTGATCATGTTTGTAATAATAT